TCAAAGGTATGTAAATCCAAAGCTATCAACAGAGGTTTTAGTCGAAACAATAAAGTCTCCGCTTTTTCAGATTCGCCTGAAAATACCACAGCTAATATTACTGCCGCTGGACCTGCTTGCTTGTCAAAAGCTGTCGTCTCAGCCAGAGTAAATGGTAGACATGCTAACTCTTTAATTGATACTGGTAGTTCTGATAGCTACATAAATCATGATTTTGTTTTAAAACACGGAATTAAAGTAATACCTGGAAGTGGACAGGTTTCTATGGCTACTACAACTTTGACATCTAAAGTATTAGGCTACGTATTAGTAGACTTACATATTCAAGGTCATACGTACAATGGTTTTAAGTTGTCAATTTTGCCTCAGTTATGTGCAGATGTATTACTCGGCCATGATCTCATGAAGTTTCACTCTCATGTTGACGTATCTTTTGGAGGACCTAGACCACCACTTTCTATATGTAGCTTACTATCGGCTGATGTTGTATCTCCAAAATTGTTCAGTAATTTAGTTCCTAATATACGACCCATTGCCACTAAGACTCGAAGATTTTCAGATGAAGACAAACAATTCATTACCTGTGAGGTACAAAACATGCTATCTGAGGGCATTATTGAAGAGACTAACTCTCCCTGGCGAGCTCAGCCACTAATCACTGTGAATGAAACCCATAAAAAACGTCTAGTTATTGACTATTCCCAAACAATAAATAAATATACTTTACTTGATGCTTACCCACTACCCCGGATTGACGACATTGTAAGTAAAGTGGCTAGTTATGCCATATTCAGTACTATTGACTTGAAATCAGCATATCATCAAATTCCCATTTCTGTTGAAGAAAGACCTTACACAGCATTCGAAGCTGATGGTAAGCTATACCAGTTCACTAGAATCCCCTTTGGTGTCACCAACGGTGTAGCCTGTTTTCAAAGAGTGATAGACTCCATAATATTAAAAGAAAATCTTAAGAGAGTGTATGCTTATTTAGATGATATAACCATCTGTGGCGGCTCTCAAGCAGAACATGACGAGAATTTACAAAGGTAGCTAAAAAGTATAATTTCACTTTGAACGATAAGAAGTCCAAGTATTCTCTTAGTTCAATAAAGCTATTAGGTTATTTGATATGTAATAAAACCATGAGACCAGATCCAGACAGACTGAAACCGTTGTTGGAAATGCCTCCTCCCAAAGATGCAACATCTCTTAAGCGTGTTGTGGGAATGTTTGCCCATTACTCTAAGTGGATACGTAATTTTTCAGACAAAATACAAAACTTGGTCCGTTGTAAATCTTTTCCTTTGCCTCAATCTGCAAAATCTGCCTTTGATGAACTGAAAAAGGAAATTGCCAGCTCGATTATTACTACCATTGACCCAGAAAGTCCACTACTGGTAGAGACTGATGCATCTGACTTTGCTGTTGCTGCAACTCTAAGTCAAAATGGAAGACCTGTAGCATTATTTTCCAGAAGTCTTTCTGACACTGAAAAAAGACACTCTGCTATTGAAAAGGAAGCAAGTGCGATTGTAGAAGCTGTACGGAAATGGAAACACTTTCTTATCGGTCATCATTTCAAACTAATGACAGATCAACAAGCCCTTTCCTTTATTTTTGATATGAAACACTCAAGTAAGATCAAAAATGACAAAATTTTGCGGTGGCGACTTGAGTTGTCGTTTTACAGTTTTGATATCGTGTATCGTCCAGGAAATAAAAATGTCGTAGCAGATACATTCTCAAGAGTCAGTGCCTCAGTTACTGAAAGGCCTATTCGTCTCTTTGATTTACTACATCAAGCACTAAGCCATCCGGGTGTGACTCGAATGTACCACTGGATTAGGAGTAAGAATCTCCCTTATTCCCTACAGGAAGTAAAGAATATAACAACGTCGTGTCCTGTTTGTGCTGAGGTTAAGCCACGTTTTTACAAACCTGTTGATCAGCACCTAATCAAGGCTACTTCGCCATTTGAAAGATTGAACATTGACTTCAAAGGACCTATTCCATCCAGCACAGGAAATAATTATTTACTTACCATCATAGATGAGTATTCCAGATTCCCATTTGCATCTCCGTGTAGGAATACTAGTTCGTCTACTGTGATTAATTGCCTTAGTAATCTATTTTCAATGTTTGGAATTCCAAGTTACATCCACTACGACAGAGGATCTTCATTTTTGTCTCAAGAACTAGTATCGTTTTTACATTCTCGTGGTATCGCCACAAGTAAAACAACACCTTATAATCCAGAAGGAAACGGACAAGTCGAGCGCTTCAACGGAACGCTTTGGAGAACAATAACCCTTGCACTTAAGACAAAGAATTTACCAATTAGGCAGTGGGAGCGTGTTCTCAATGATGCATTGCATGCTATTAGATCTTTACTGTGTACGGCTACCAATGCAACTCCCCACGAACGCTTTTTTGTGCACTCTAGGAGATCAAGCAATGGAATTGCTTTGCCCACATGGCTAAGTTTTCCTGGACCAGCTCTACTAAAACGCCATAATCAGTCAAGCAAGTACGATGAGAAAGTGGATGAAGTAGAGATTATCGAAGCTAACCCTCAGTATGCTCGTGTTCGAAATCAAAATGGACAAGAATCGAACGTGTCTCTAAAGCATTTGGCTCCTCGAGGGGATGTGAGACTTCTCAGAGATGAAACCGACACTGCTATGGCCCAGACATCAAATTCTCAAGAAGAACAAGATGAGGCACAAAATGATGATGTACAAATAAATGAAAATCCAACCGATGATATGGAAACAAGTGAAAGTGTACCTAATTTACCAGAAACTTCTCAAAGACCATTCAGGGAGAAAAGACTTCCAAAATACCTACAAGATTATGCACACAATTTTAACCAGGGGAGAATGTGATGATTTCTAATATCCTTGATATTACAACTTTGATCAGCTGTCCTGGTTACCATGCAAATTAACTTGTTTATTTGTGTTGTTCTGTAATGTTGGTTTTTACTCAAATAAAGCCTTAGAATTTGTAAAAGGTTTATTCATTAATTCAACAGTGTTACATCCTAAATGTCTACCTTTAATTATTGCTCATTTATTCTATAACTATTATCAGCTGGTTATAATGTTTACTTGTTCACTTTGTTTTTAATTTGTGTTGAATAAAGTTGGTTAAAATTGTACTTTGACAAATACATTTATTATTTGTTCTAATTACATACAGAACAATTTGGCGACGATGGAGGTGAGTACAAGTAATTCAAATACCTCTCAAAAAATTCAAATGATTAACTCAGCATTGATTGGACCCTTTAATGAAAGATATGAAACATGGGAAATGTATATGGAAAGACTAGAGATATCATTAATTTATAACAACATTTCGGAAGATAAAAAGAAAATTACGATACTTCACTGTATTGGATCAGACACTTACAGTAAACTTAGGGATATATATTCCATCCTGTATCACCTATAACTAAATCCTATGCTGAATTAGTTCAAACTCTTAATTCACATTTTACACCGAAACCAAATGAAGTATCATAGACATTCAAATTTCATTGTAGACACCAATATGAAGGAGAAAACGTTTCTGAATTTTCATTGGATCTTAGAAAGTTGTCTAGATATTGTAATTTCGGCACATTTCTGTCAAAAGCCCTGAGAAACCAATTCATACTCGGGCTAAGGGATGAAAAAATACAGACAAGGTTAATTACTCTAAGTGACAGTGATTTGAGTTTTGAAAAAGCTGTAGACATGGCTCAAGTAATTGAAAAGGCTCAAAACGATTCAATAACAATCCAATCAAAATTCAATCATGAAAACAATGAATTGCCAGTTAACTTAAATGTTGCACAACAGAAAAGTTTTCAAAAACCTAAAAACAGTACCAATCTTAAACAATGTTACCGTTGTGGAGAGTTACATGAATACATATCTGAATGCAAACACAAAAATACAACATGTAACTTCTGTAAAAAATAGGGCATCTAGCAAAGATTTGTTTTAGAAATCCTAATGCACCTATCAAATTGCAAAGACAAAATAAGACTACATTTAACACTACTTCAAGAAATGTAAAACAAATAACAGACTCGTTCGAAGATCAAAGTGAAATATTTCTACAACAAAATATGAACAACTCTGTTAGATCCCTCTATAAGGAAACTAATGTTTTTGACATTTGTTCTATGAATACCTCAGAAGATAAATTTAGAAAAATTATGTTAAACATAAAAATAAATGGGAAAACTATTCCGTTTGAACTAGATTTAGACATCCTAAATGTCTACCTTTACTTATTGCTTATTTATTCTATAACTATTATCAGCTGGTTATAATGTTTACTTGTTCACTTTGTTTTTAATTTGTGTTGAATGAAGTTGGTTAAAATTGTACTTTGACAAATACATTTATTATTTGTTCTAATTACATACAGAACAGTTGGGTAAGTCTAGAAATGTTAAATAAAACACATCAAGCTGTACACGATCTAAAACACGGTTTATGCGTGATCTATCGCGTTTACGTTGGGTAAGTCTAGAATCATTGTCAATGCTTGTCCGGGGGGGGGGGGGGGTGCTACAAACTAGTTTGCAATAGAAAGTCTACATAAAGCAAAAGGGTTATTGTTCAGCCTAGTTCAAAATGGGAGCGCGTCAAGGTGGTGGGTAGACGGAAACGTACAACCTACCACCTCAGATAAAAACCGGCTGTGGTTCCGGTTTTTAGATGTAAAGCGTGTGTAAAACCTTTTGCTTCTCAAAGAAAATTTTTTGCTGTATATTTTAACTAAAAACATATATTCCAAACTAAAAACTTTATCAGGTCCTCTTACTCATTAATGTATACATACATATGGAATCCACTTCGCTGTTGGTAGTACCATAGATAAAACAATGGTAGTACTGATGTGTAAACAGGGTTTGCCCGTGAACTGTACTTCACGAGAGAGAGTGTGAGTGAGAGGAGATAAGAAGAAACAAAGACACAAACAATACAAACGTCATCATAAACAAGGAAAAGTACAAAAGTATCAAGGACGAGGAAAACTGTCTGCTAGGCCTGGGCTTGGGTTTATAACGTTTTATAATTTTTCTGCATGGATTACAAACATTTCTACCTTATTCGTAGATTAAACTTATTTTTAAATTGTCAGATCCATTAAATTGGTGAAATACCGAACTGTAAATTTTGAACTGTAAATTTTTAACACAAGAAACTTGTGAATTAACCTAGTTGTGTCTATGAAGTTTAGTAGGGCCTACTGAGTATTCGTATTCACTGAGTAGGTTGATAGATAAGTGATAAGTGAACTTTAGTAGACAATGTTGGTTAGTAGGAAGTAGGGGTAGGCGTACGATAGGCTTAGGTTACACAACCTTGGGGGGTATTTTACTTGGTTTTCGTTTGATGAAGATATCTATTACAGTTATCTAGGCAGTGTGATAAAAAGGCATTTAAAAAATGCTTTTACACAGGTAAGGCCTTGGTCTATTTTTAATTATGTACGTGGATATCTGGCTATGACATATGTTTTTGTAACCACACTTTTTTTGTTAATAAAATAAATAAATAAGAACTTTAGTGTCGTTAAGCGTTACAGCAATGAGTTAGACAAAGTCAGGTAGGCCTATTAGGCTAAATTAAATCTAAGTTACAAATATACAATTCATGTCAGACAATGGAAATGGTACATGGTTTTATCAGACTTCTTATTAGCCCTCTGGGTGCTAGAAATTTATTTTGGTACTTTCCGAAAAGTGCCAGAGTTTATTACTAGGTAACTTATGTCCAAAAAGTGCCAAGCTTTCAATAGGGACGAAGCTTAGTGCGCAAGAATACAAATCAGTAAAAGTAGGCCTATAAATTTTCATCCCAAAAGTGCCATGAAACGATATATCGTGCCTCGATCGTATGAGAAATTGATTGAAATCATCGTTGTTTCAAAATAACAACTGTGTTGGGTACAGTTTCTTAACTGGGCTACGCTAATATCGATTGAAACTATCGAATTGAAATTATGATTAACCCTCCCAGTGTTACTTGACGAAAATTCGACAAGCAGCACACTTTGTGTAGTGTTACTTGTCGATTTTTCGACACGCAGACATCGTTTACGGCGAAGGCTCTATGACTGACTGAATCGGATTGAACTGGATCGAGTTAGGTATCGTTCTTTCCGTAATATTCTAAGCTTTCTCCAGAGGTCTGTCTCTAAGCGCTATTCATTTTAGTTCCGAAAATATTGTAGCAGACAGCTGACGTGCGTGTATTTGTAAACAGCTAGGTTCCCCCGGACCGATGACTGATGTGTTTTATTACGTTTATCATTGTTTTAGTGTTAAAAATCAAAAGTAGTGATATACGTGGTGCATTATAAGAAGATTTAAGTGGTTTTGAAGTGCTGGTTGATGATCCTGAAGAAGTAGGTAGTGATATTGATGTAAATTATCAGCCAGATTCCTAGCTATGGTTAGGCTATGCATTCTTAGCTAAACGCTATGTACTGAAATCAGTTTTTTGCCCATAACTTATTTATTTGCAAATATACTTTCTTATATTATTATATATTTGTAATCCTCATAAAATTTAGAACAAAGTGGCTATTTTCAAATATTTATAGGCCTATAATTTATACAATTTCATTGAGCGCAAACTTATTTTTTTTGGAAAATTTTCAAAATTATATTTTTTTTACCTAAAAATTTTTTTTTTGAAAAAATGTTCCTTATGTTTTGTATATAATATTGAAGCCCATGATTTTCCAAACAAAATGGTATATAGAACATTAGAATTAACATTGTTTTAAGCTTCTCAGGTCCGTTTTAATAAAACCTTGCAAATGCGCCAAAAATAGGTGGACATTAAGGCCTAAACTATGGACACTTGGAGGGTTAATAATCAACATTTAAAAATATATCTAGGGGTATTATAAAATTAAACTATCATTACCTAACCTAACCAACCAAACTTGCTGATGGTGAAAAAATCGCATGAAGGTTTACTAATCGAATCGATAGTTTCAATCGATATTAGTGTAGCCCAGTTAAGAAACTGTACCCACCGAGTCAACCGATATGCCCATTAAAACTCACATGATCGAAAGTAGCGCCGGCCCGATATCATTGCAATGTATTTTTCGGTAAGACTACCGACGACGATATATCGTTGTGAAGTATTTTTCAGATGTGTTGTGCAAAACGATATATCGTTGCATGGCACTCCAAGGGTTAAAGATATTACTTTAGGCCTACTTGAAAGTTTGGCTGAGGAGATAGCCTATGTAATACGGGATGTCCAAGATTAATTTTTTATCAATGTGAATTCCTAAGAACTTAATACTTTATGCAGTAGCCTAATACTTTCTGGCAGATCTCTTAGACAAAAATAAATTCACAAAGGATACTCCTCCGGTAGCCGGACGTGGATAAGGCGTCCGGCAGTGACGTCACCGGGTTGTGGGGGCCCAGAACACCATTACCACAACGATAGGATGTACAGCCATCGGTGTTCATGGTGTAGTGGATAGAGTGCTCGGCTGGTATGCAAGAGGTCCCTGTAACTTTAACTTTAACTAACTCGGTAACTTTAACTTTTTGTCAAAGATTTTGCTTTGAATGTTATTTCTTCTTAAGGCTGCGGCCACACGGGCGTTTTTTTCACGCACAAACGCAGCGTGGAAACACGCGACAATTTAGAGTAGCATTGAAACAAATAGGCACCTGCTACTGCGGGAAAACACACTGCGTGTGGCATACCTCATTACATTTTAATGCTGCTCATATTTCTCGTGTTTTTTCACACTGCGTTCTTGCGTGAAAAATCGCCCATGTGGCCGTAGCCTAAGGCCAGTGATACACTATCCGGTTTAGCAGGATGCGTTTTAGCGGGATGCGTTTTTACCGCATTGACATTGCCCTGTCACACTTGTCCCGTTCTACCGCAACGCAACATATTTCGAGTGAAGAGCGTGAGCATCACATGCAGTGCACTGTTGATAGTGATAAAATTACGATGTTGTCTAAAGTGAAATTTGTCTGTGCTCTTGAAGCAAGTGGTTTTTTGCGAAAACCTTACGTAGGCGTACACCATTTTCATTGCGAATATGATAACAGATGAACAGTTTAAGAGTTTATCAAAGTATAAGGCAATATCCTCGCAAGTTTTTTTAAAATTATTGTAGAATGTTCATACAATCTTTAGATGAGCTGCTGCGCGTTTTGAGGCCACATTTAATGTATCATCAGTACACAATTCAGGAATTTAATCAGTGGTGAAGAAAGATTAACGATAACAATAAGGTTAGGACAATTAATAGTTTTATTCTTTTAAGATTTTGTTAAATTTGTATTTATTTTAGACTACCCATTCAATTTTTTTTTGGTTGAAGAAGTGCATTCAAGTCAAACAAACAGTAAATAAAAAGCTTGTATAACAGTTGGTAGATTAATTTAAATTGCATAAAACGTGTCCATGTTAAACATGCTAAACGCGCGCGGCAAAACACGACAGTGTGACAGCTCTCATTGAAGCTCTCCGTCGTCCGGTCGTCCCGTTCTACTGCAGCATCTTGCAGTGCATCCCGTCGACGCGCCGCAACCGCATCAATGTGACAGCTCCCATTAAAACACATGAGTTTGAATCATCCCGCCAAACGGATCCCGTTTAACCGGACCTGCAAAACGGGATAGTGTGTCACCGGCCTAACTGTACATCTTTTGTTAGAATTTTTGGCATTTATAATTTTATTTTATGTACAGAATTTAAATTTTATTCGATTTTTTCATCATCAGCAAGTTTGGTTGGTTAGGTTAGGTTATGACAGTAACTGCCAGACACCTAATCCACGTCCGGTTACCGGACGCGTATCCTGTGCGAAATAAATTTCCTGAGTCTTACTTTCATTCATCAGGAAACCATTTGTATGCTTCTGAAAGGGTTCTCTAGTTAACTGTTGGAGACTTTTTAAATCTGTTTTTTTGTTAAGAAAAGTTGTGTCATCTGCATAAAGTGTTGTAATATGACGTGACTAACTTATTTAAAGTTGAAGGCAGATCATTTATCATCAAGCTAAGTTAAATAACAATGGACCCAAGCTATAACTGATGTTTCTCTACCTACACATACAATCTGTTGCCTACAGGCCCGTTTTTGACCCTGTCAGCGCCCTAGGCACAACTAATAGAAGCGCCCCTTCGCATTATATATAACAGGGTATCCACCAACCGGGAAAGTCGGGAAATTCGGGAATTATGCGTGAGTTTTGTTTAAACCGGGAATTATGCGTGAACTTAGTATTTGTACCTGCAATTTTCAATTTACCGCGATTGCGCATGACAACTGTGACGTTTCCGTGACCGCGGGAGACATGCTGAGCTGAGATATGTCTACACACGGCCGCGAGGGATGATCATAATATTGCCACGATCACGGAAGACAATGACAATGTCCACACACGGCCGCGGGAAACAGCAAGAATTTTGCCCCGATCGCGGAAGACGATAACTATGCTATTTTAAAAAGTGATTTAATCCTATTTAATGTATATTTGAATGTAAAAATGGTGTTACCGTTGAAAGGATAAATAAATAAATAAATGATCTCCACATGACTGTGTCATATTATTGACATTTGGCCGCGATTTCGGGAGACGATTACGATGTCTTCACGACCGCGGGAGACGATTTCGATATCTGCGGGAGATACAATGACTTCTATACAGCCACGAGGGATGATCAGAATTATGCCGCGATCACGCAACACGATGATAATGTCCACACGACCGTGCGAAAAGATCAGAATTTAGCCTCATTCGCGGAAGACGATGATCTCCACATGGCCGCGGGAGATGATTACCATTTGGACACAATCGCGGGGGGCGATTAGTCCAAACGACCGCGCGTAAGATAATGATGCCTTGACGGCCACGAGGGAATTTTATCGCGATTGCGCAAGACGATGGTGTCCCCACGATCGCGGGAAAAGATCAGAATTTTGCTTCATTTGCGGAAGACTATGATGATCTCCACAAAACCGCGAGTGATGATAACCATTTTGCCGCAATGGCGGGAGGCAACTACTATGTCCACACGACCACGGGGCAGCGGGGGATGATATAACGATGTCCTCAAGGCCGCGAGTGGTGGTCAGAATTTAACCGCTATTGTGCACGACGATGATAATGTCCACAAGACCCCGGGAAAAGATCAGAATGTTGCCTCGTTCGCGGTAGACGATGATAATCTCCTGACGACCGCGGGATATGTTCATATATTTCCGCGATCATGGAAGACGATGATTATGTCTACACGACAGCAGAAAATAGTCAGAATTTTGCCGCAATCACGGGAGACAATTATTATGATGTCTACACGGCCGTGAGGGATTATCAGAGTTTTAACGTGATCGTATGCAAATACAACCACAAAATATTTTACTTCCCAATTTTTTGGCGCCCCCCAAAAAAGCCAATTGCCTCGCGCCCTAGGCACGTGCCTACCTTGCCTATTTGGTAAATCGGCCCTGGTTGCCTATCTTTAAAAAAATGAATGCATCAGCTCAGCACTTGAATCACTAAAACCATGTAGGCCTATTTGTAATAAAATCTAATAATAGGTAGGTCTAGGTACCGTACCGATTAAGTTTTTAATATATTTTAACTACTTTAGCGTTACACTGAGTTTTACAAGTCTAACCAAAAGTCTATCACTAACCAGACAAGCATTTCCAGTTCTTGACACTGACAAAGTTGAGAGACCTTTTATAAGTTAAATGAGAATGAGAGAAAATGAGAATGAGAAAATGAGAATTTATTTGGTCTTTAAACATGCAGTTACGTGCAATCAGACAAGTCATTTATAATAATCATCTGATAATTAGGCTTCTAGAACAAGTTCTTAAGATTTTCATTGCATATTCATTGCAATTCCATTGGAATTGCATAAGTAATAGGCCTAGGCCTACATTATTTTCCTACTTTATAATAATGGAAGAAACTAATGTCAAACTCTTGTTGACACAACTTTGATATCTGACTAACTTAGGCCTATATTGTAGGCTATCGAACAAATTAAACCCAATATTCTGTTATTGGTATTTTCACTTGCATAAGCAACGGTACTCTCCTTTTAATAATTTTATCATGTTAATGCTTTTGTTCTTGGAGCTAGTAAGAATACCAGCCCAGAACGCAGTTTTTGTAAATTTTAGCCATTTAAACTAGGCCTACTAAGTTATTGGCAATTGAAATATGTTGCAACTCCACTAGTCAGTATAATCTTGCAATTAAATTGAGTTTTTGTTAAGTGTCACAAAGTAACTTATTTGATACATCCATTGGCTAACTTACATCACGTTCGATGGTTTGGTTGTTGCATGGTAACTTATGTGTGGCCGGATTGTTCTGCTGACAAGAGGTGTCAGGATTCTGTGTGACGTATATGACTGCCGAAGCAGTAAGTCAGTTTAGCGGAGTCAGTCAGTTGGGGTTTTACCTTATCTTTCCCTCCCCGTGGTTGCTCACGGGGTAGTCATGCTGTTTTTCAAAATTCCATTATGTAATAATTAACTTAGTCACTAGGCCTATGGTACTTAGCAAGTTGTAAATATTCCCTCTTTTTATACAATAATACAAGTATTCAAATCTTTACTCAGCCTTCCCTTTTATTGAGTTCTCAGTCTTGGTGCGTGGTCGTCACAGTTTGGCCAAAGTTGTAAAATATTTGGTAATCATATATTAACCTCAGACATCACTTTTATTGTATTTGTTTACTTTTATGATGCAAAATAATGTCCTGAATTAAAAAATTACTGTAGTTTTCCCTGAAATTTCAAATAAACGCAAAAAACTATAAAACAATATTTAGTTAATTGAGAACTATCTTAAAAACCGAAACACACAGTCAAACTATTGCAAATTTATTACTGATTGTATATGATTTTTTTTTGTGCAATAGGTAAATATTAAATTAGTTTTTCTGCTCTTCCCCCAGAAAAAGGTGAACACTTTGGTACATTGTTTTGGACACAGGCTTGTTAGCGAATTTCCCATATAGGGAATAAGCTATTACCGCACGTCTCGTGGTAAGATCTAGACCCGGGACCGATATACTTTTTGGTTTTAAGGTCCCCAGAGGCCAAAAACAACCTCCGTTCAAATTCATAAATTTAATATATATATATAGGCCCATATGTGTCCATTAGCGCGATACCTCAAGCAAAAATGGTCCGATTTTGATGAAATTTGCTATAAACGTGTAAACCTACATTTATTCGAACGAGTTCGCCAACCAGCATAATCAGACTATGGTAACGGGGGTTTATGGGAGGTTTTATGGGGTAAAAATAGATTTTTCCCATTTGTGACCCTAAAAACACAACATTTCCTAATTACTCCCCGAACCATTTTGTAGAGCTTAAAAAAAGAAATAATTTTGTACATTGAAGCGTTGTTGTATGCCTAACGGTTACGGAGATAATTAAGAAATTTGTAAATTTAAAATTCCCATGTTATTCGTATGGAGAATAAAAAAAAAACTGTTCTAGTTTGCTTGTTTATGGATATATTTAAACCAAATTTGTAAATTTTGTTTTTTTAATACTAAGCTATCAACATTGCAATAAAGAACACATCTCAATATCTTCCCTGTAGCTGCAAACCTAAAGTACTCACTAAAATTAATAATAATTAAATAGGAAATACATCTGACAATTTTAGGGAATATTTTAGTAGAAGCGAGACAAAAATGGGCAACGCCTCAGATTCGGCCTATTAAAACAGCTGAGTTGCACTAATTCATAATGGAGCGTCTGTCCATTTTTACGTTAAAACATGGTTGTTATTAATGTTATTAACTTACCATGGCAATAGGCAGCCGGTGCGAAGTTGCCACACACCAACACAGTGGCATTGTATTATAGGAGGCTATGCTAAAACTGATTGCATAATATCATTCAGCAAGTAAAATACAGGATAAACTGCAAAATACTGACAGAAAATATTAGCCCTAAATAAAAAAAAAAAATTGAATTAACCTATACTGCACATTTACCTTCTTTTAGGACCTATCAACCAAATCCTGTTCTGGAGATAAAGAGAGATGGATATTTGGCTGAAGAAAAGGAAGTTAGAGATAATTATGTAGCATCTTTCAAGAGCTCAATTGCTAAGACAAAACACCTTCATGCAAATATTCTTTTCACCACACAATGTGGCCGAATGATCTTGCAAGATATTTGTTGTTTGGTCACATGTATCAACGCCAGTGTGGTGAACAAAGATTGGAACGATTTAGCAGTTGCCTTAGGTTACAGTGGAAATGAGGTCAAGGTGAGTTAAATAACAATTTGATTGTGTTCTTCCATTGTTTATATAGTGTTTATATAGTCAATGGTTCTACCTGTCTTAGGTTTAATAGATAGATTTGTTCTCAGTCTTTTCTGAACAAGTGATATTGATTAGAGTAGAACCACAGAATAGGGACTGTAATAGGTTCATACTAGCTGTACCCGCGGGCTTTGCCCCGTTTAACTTTATATGTGAGCTCGTTCGCATGGCTCAATCACGTCCTGGTTGAAGTTCGTTCGCTACACTCACTCACCTTTAGGTTGGAGCTCGTTCGCTGCGCTCACACGTCCTGGTTGAAGTTCGTTCGCTACGCTCACTCACCTTTACGGTTGGAGCTCGTTCGCTGTGCTCACTTGCCTTCAGGTTAGCTCGTTCGCTACGCTACTTCGCCTGCGGGTTGTAGTTCGTTCGCTACGCTCACTCACCTTTTGGTTTCAAATTAGCTGTTGTCAAATATTAAAAAAAAATAATAGTGCTGCATTCTGTTGGTAATCCTTCAGGGTGTCTACCAACCGGGAAATCCGGGAAAACCGGGAATTGTACTTAAATTTTTACTGGCCATGAAATGTACGGGAATTGTCCTTAAATGCCAGACTATGTCCTTAAATTTTTAATGGGCCATAACTTTATTGATCGCTAGTTGGTTAGGAGCACATAAAAGGTTTATCAGATGTTTGTTTACATTTTCATAATTTATTACTAGAGTAATTATGCAATAAAAATCCCATTAGCAATCTCAAACCCATTAATATTTTATCACGCCAATCAAGTGTCAAGTCAAGTACTTCCAAGAACTGTTGACTCAGCAGCTAGCTCATAAAAGTTGTATCACTTTTATTCCTTTACAACTTCTTTTTTTATTACTAGGGTAATTATTATTAGATCCCAAACCTATTTTGTGAAAATAATAGCTTTATAATGGCTGTTAAATTCCACTTCTCAATTTGCCGCAGCCAGTGCCTAGTGCCATAAAACTGTTTATGGTTTCATACTAAACATGTAAATAATATACAGTCTTATTTTGTAAGTTAACCCCTTTTTTATGGACATTTTATCTTTCAATATTGACAAAACCACAAGCATTGTTGTTTGCATTAATGTTTTATCACTATGTAGGCCTGCTTGGTTTCAAATTATGTCATTGCATTTTCTGTTCTGTATCTTTGTCTTATATTGTTGGCTATTCAGGTTTCAATGTTTTTTGTTTCCCATATATTTATTTATTGAGTTGTATGCTTTAAGCAATCTAAATCTTATGAACTAGAATGATGATAGTGACTTTGCTGCTATTATAACCTCATTGTTTATTACTCAGTTTATATAGGCCCTCCTAAATAATTAGGTCTAGGCCTGGGTATTTTGATTCTTGAAAGAGCTGTAAAATATATTAAGAAAATGCAATTGAGCCTAAGATAATTAACTAATGATTGCTATGTGTCGATATTCACTTTGCAAATGAAAATACAATAATCTTACTCTGTGCTTATTGCTTATTAATAGCCGCTTACCATACCTTGATTTTGTACTAAGAATTGAGTAACAATATGCATTAAAGATTTTTTTTTCAAAAGTAGTCGAGAACCTAACGTTGTGCCAGGGCGAATCATGCCAAATTAATCGGCCTGGATCGGATAAGCTATGTTATGAAGTTTACGTGACCGATAGAGATATTTGTCGCTATCGCAGGAGACAATGATTGCGTTTCTCTGTTACACTATAAAAGCTTTACCTAAAGTATAGGTAGGCATATGTTTGTTTACTTTCAATAAATTTCTATTTTGAAATTTTTAACTCTTACCTATTATTATTTACTTTTCTCTCTGGTACAACTACAGTGAATAACAAGATTAATACAGTTTGACAAATCAGGAAAATTATTCGGTAGGCCTAATGACACCGACAAAGGTTACGGCAAAGTGTCCTTAAATGCACGGGAATTGTCCATGAATTTTTTATCCAGAATGTAGTAGACACCCTGATCCTTGTAACTTTAATACTATTGAACATCATAGAAATGAACCAACTTGTTTAATTGAAACAGCTGTTATGATTCATTAATTCCATTTAAATATGAGTACTCATTAGGTTAACATGGGAAACCCCAGAGCCACTGGGGCGGAGCCCGAGAGTCCGATCAGAATAAAAACCACCTCGTTTTCCTATTTAATGCCTAAAGAATCAGTGTACCAAATTTCAGCCTCCTAGGTAAGTGGGAAGTGGGAGAATTAGTGATGAGTGAGTGAGTGAGTCAGTCAGTCAGTCAGTCAGTCAGTGAGGGCTTTGCCTTTTATATATATAGATTGACACAATGTTTTATGCTCTTTGTATTTATTTATTGCCATATGTTTTTGTTATTAATTCCAATTATTGTGATTTTATTTACTTTTGTCTTGTCTTTATAAATTGCAAATACATTCCTTTTTCTATTTGTAATAGTCGACATTATTTCTACATTTGGTGCCGAAACCCGACTTAATCATGTCAGTAAGAATAGAATAGAATTGGAGAAATTCAAGATTTGTCTAAACCGGAAGAATGTAGATGGGTTCCATCGAAACAGAATCCGGCAGATGTTGCAACTAGAAGTGACAAAAAGTTTACTTCAGCCATGCATTCTGAATGGATCCACGGACCCTCATTTCTAGTGCGAGAATCGAGTGACTGGCCAATACAGCCGTCCACACTACAAGTCAAGGAAAATGAAGAAACAAAGAAGAAATTCGTCGGAGTTGTGAACAGTGAAGAAAACCCTCCTCTTCTGACAGTTGAAAACTTTTCTTCTTGGGAAAAAGATACGCGTGTGTTAGCATGGGTACCGGTACACAGATTTATTAGCATGCTAAAGATACTACCGCCAACACAAAAAAGAAACTGAAGATGGTCAACGTAGATTTTGGAAAGATACAAAACCAGAGGGAATTCAAAAAGCGGAACATACATTGATATCAATGTCTCAAAAGGCAAGCTTCAATGAAGAAAAGAATTTACTGCTGAATAACAAAGCCCTACCAAAGTCCAGTATAATATTTTCTTTAAAATCCCTTCATTAAGCCAATGAAAAATTACACTCAAATCTGCTAACGTCTACACTTGAATCTAAGATCGCTTTATTGTTGTTGTATTATTATTATTATTATTATTGTATTGTTGTTTTATTTTTTTAAAGTATACATTCCACTTGTATAGGTATTTTATAATCAGGTGATAGCAACTGTGTAGTGTCGTCGGTTCTCTCTTTTACCGCCCTTATGTCTGGCCTAGCCTGCCAGTCCTCAACAGCAGCGCTCCTAGGCTAGCAGATTCAAATGCAACTTTTTTATGGCTCAGTGAAATTCTGGGTTGGGTCTTAATTTTGTGGTAGAACCTGTTAGAAAATGAGTAATGCCTAAGGCCGCCTTCCCACTGGGTCGCTTGTCCCTTGACACACTGTGGCTGCCACCCAGTGGCTGTGACCTTCTCGCTAAAAAAAGTACTAACCTTGTCATATGTTCCATTTGTCAAAATCAGAGTAGAAATATTTTATTCTATTGCTACGAAATAAAACATTTAATTCTATTGCCACGAAATAAAACATTTAATTCTATTGCCACGAAATAAAACATTTAAATATATTGCCAAGAAATAAAAATTTGAGCATTGTATTTGATACAAATATTTGAATTATTTCCATATATTTGAAGTGGTGTGAACAAAAATAGAGTAGTAACAATAATTTAATTAGAACATTTGGACATTCTGTTGTCCAAATCGGTAACTAAGCTAGATGAAAAAATAAGCTGCGCGCGCACAGCTGACAGCTAGTAAAAAGTTGTGTGTGTGCCACCCCAAAGATTTCAGCCACCTAATGTGAAGGGCCAGGTATATTACAATGTCCCGTCATGAATAGAGTCGCTGAAAAAGCACGGTGGCAGCCACTGACCAGCGACGCTGTTTTTCGAGGTGGGTTGCTGCGACCCAATAGTGTGAATGGGAAGGCGGCCTAAGGCATACATGAAATGTACCTGTAGCCCATAAACTTGTGTTCAAGGGTCAAGTTTGTGGCAAATTTGTACCGGTAAGCAAAATTTCCATGGGACAATTTTGACAAAAACAATAAATTCTCTTTAAATAGGCCTACTATAGGCTATCTAGTGAAGAGTAAAACCTGCAACACTTTATAGCACAATTTAGTAAGTAAAATCATAGGGTGGATTAAACATACTCCCTTAGTAGGGTTTTCATCATTATGGATCAACTGAAGACCCTTTTAAATATTGTTTGTTCGATCTTGGGCCGCTAGGATAATTTTTTGTGTACAATTTGTTTCTTGTTATTTCAGCTAGTCCTACTTAAAGCATTGTTTAACCAAATCAAACGATCTAATCACAAAAAATAAGTGGTCCTATAGTTAAATAACCAAAAGGTAAAGAACAAATTATAAAATTAACCCTAAAATCAGTGGCGGCAATAGTGGGCCCGCGGTGCGGTGGGGCCCGCGAGCTAGGGGGGCCCGTGAGCCTTGACCGGGATTTTTCGGGAAATTTTACTGGGACACCGGCCCGCGATTGTGCGACAGGCTCAGCCAAACCCCCCCTATCATTTCATTTCATTTCAAACAATCTTTATTCTTTTAGTACATATTTACAGTACATTGAACAGTGTCGAAAAGTGATTCTTCATTTTAACTTTAAACTGTTTTCTAACTTATTTCTACCATTTTTTTACCATAAAAAGAAGGTTATTTATACTATTACAATAGAGATTCACAACAAAACAAATAATAATCATGAATAAAATAAGAAAATCATAACAATATTTATATGAGAATTACCATACGTGTTTTATGACAAAATTTGTTAACCCCAGTAAGAGCACTATCAGGGCAAGTAGTTTACAAGCTAAACTGACACTACTAGACCGATCGATATAAATTATCTACCAACCTAAGTAAAAGAATTGTCATCAGTCGTGCAGGTTGCATCAACTATCCTCGTGGACTGTGT